CTAATCAACTAATTAAATAACTAATAACTAATTAAATTTAGCTGTATCAAAATTATTACACTGTTAAGTTTGCTCTTCACTTCATGCTTCTATGTGACACTATGTATAGGATGAGCTCTAAAAACCAACACTCAATTACTATTTTCTAAAATCGAACTCCCATTTCCTTAAATCAACTCCCATTTTCACAAAAACGATCTCCAATTTAGTGTAAAAGTGGATGTCCCTTTAAAACTTCCCTAGTAAGCAGCACTTCATAGCATAAAACTATGGCCACAGTGGTGTGAAATGAGGAGTGCAATCTGGCTTAACTCTCTACACCATGACATCAGTGTACATATTCTCCATACTGTTCTTGATACATTTCCTAAGGTGCTGACAAGGAGAATTTCTTTAACAATCAAGAGCTTTAGTTGGTGATCATTTCCTTTACTCTCTCAATCTTAATATGTATGACTCGGGGGTGATATTGTAAGGAGAAATTAGATACTAGTCACTCTTGGAGGTTAACTAATCTGTATAACCAGCTTGTTTCAAAACAGTTTACATGTTCTTAACACAAGACTTTGTCAGTAATAGCTTTATTTCTCAAATCAGGTGAAAAACCAGTTATAGTCCAGCTCAAATAATTACAGTCAGGCACAAAAAAAGGCCATTGTCCAACTCAACGTAGAAAACAAAAAGTGAAGTCAGTCCAGGTGAAATACTAAAAGACAAAAGTACACTGTAAATATAAAATCAGCACTCCATCAGTTTAGAATGGGAAGAAAATTACAGACAGAAAGTACAGCATAAGAATACCCACACTGAATCATTTAAACTTTGCTTTCATTCCATATTTTAGGCTTGAGTTTTTAAGCTACCAACTTTTAAGTGCATCAGATTTTTTTGCAAATTATAAAAAATGTTCTGATGCTTTCATTTGTGTTGTTTTTGTCTTCATGCAGGCCATATTACATTCCATTGACACTACNAAAAGTTACTCTTATATAATATTTTAACTTTATATATATATTTTTTATTTTATTTTTTATTTTAATGATATATAACATATATTGATTACAATTTTAAATTGAGTTTAGGAGCATGCTGTTGTTACAGAAGTCGCTTCCTCAATTTAAACACATAACTTTTATGTTCATTTTACACACTCATCCCCACCCTTGCATACGCTTTGTTCCTTTTTTTACCCACTGATCACCAGATTGCTCATCAGTGAAGTGGGAACCCATTTTCATGGGATCCCATATATCAACACCAAGGGAAGCCACAAAGGTTGCTACTGAAACTACTGATTAATATATTTAATACTATACAAACACACTGAATCATTTAAACTTTGCTTTCATTCCATATTTTAGGCTTGACTTTTTAAGCTACCAACTTTTAAGTGCACCAGATTTTTTTGTCAATTACAAAAAATGTTCCGATGCTTTCATTTGTGTTGTTTTTGTCTTCATGCAGGCCATTTATATTTGATTGGCACTATTAGCTCTGTTAGACCAGAAGAAGTCAAAATACTGGAAAATGAAATAATAATGGAATAATAAATCCCTTACTAAACTCTTGTGAGTAACCAGGACAGAATTTTTCTTCACAACATCAAGCAGACAAGTGATGACAATAAAGAAAATTATAATTCAATGAATACCTTTGCTTGCCCAAAGATAAACCCCAAGTGATATTCCCCAATTTTCAAACCCTATGTCCAACACTGAAAAACCTGTGCTTAAAATTTAAATCAAGATGAGAAACGTTGTGCGATTGTTACATGGTTTTTTTGTAACTTCACAAAATCTTATTAGAGGACACTGAAAAGTGAACATCGCATGCCGTAAACAGTAAGCTGTTTGTAAACATTTTTCCCAAGCATTAAAAAATATCTGAAGGATACTAAACACAATAGCCTCAATTTGCTGGGAAAATATGCTCACATATTTGTCCTTGGACATTATCTGTTCCTTGAAGCTCAGAGTTTTCCCTGACCTTCATTCTTCAAAACCTTCTCACATATCAGAACAGATAATGTCCATGGATACTTTTGCGCCAAATGGAGGCTTTTGGCTATATAACAATTAGGGGATTATTTGTTGATCCAATACCAAAATTCTCCAAATTCACATTATAAGAATTGTATAGCAGACAGTAAGGAGAATTACTAATAAGATCGTGCATTAAACAATGCAATGAGAGGTATGAACTATACCAATAGCTCAATGACCTTTACTTACATATTTTACTCCTTACCTTAATAGCACCCAGAGCCCAAAGAGAACAGTTGTCCATGAGCGTGCATGCACAGAGCCACAAGGTGATGTGATAATAAGACTTATTAGGTAGAAGTTGTTTTCTTGATCCAACACCAAATTTTTCTACAAGGAAATGTGAAGCAACTAGAGAAGAGAATTTACAATCAGTTTAGGCAAGTTAAGATTCAAGGTTCATTTATTTCACACTATTTACATAAAATTAACATACATAGAATAGGTTAATTGCAACA